TATAAGAATAGGGGCAATCAAGTGGTTCTTGTAAAACTTTTGGTATAATTTGGTATAACTCATGGAAATAGGGTCTAATGTAAGCTTTTTCTTATTCCATGATTCTTGTGCACCACTCATTAGGGTAGTAGGATGAATTGAGGGCCTAAGAGGGGATGGATAAAAAGGTCGTGCAATTGATTAGTGGAGTATAGCAAAAACATGACTTACAAAAGAATGATATATGATATAGATTGGCTGAGGGTAGTTTCTAGATTGCTGCCTGTCAAAATTCACAGTTTGAGTCTCATTTTTTTTCTTGAGCATTTTTTTAGTAGTAAATGATTCTCTTTCTTCTAGTTTGTCACTCTTGATTGCATTTTTGATAATTTCCCTGAAATCACCATGTTAGTAAAATTTTTAGTTGTATTTTCTATTATTTTCTTATAGTATGGTGACTTGAGAGTGCTTACAAATAGCACTATCATCTCTTTCTTTGTTAAAAAAGTGTTGTATCTGAGTAGTGACATCCCATCACCTTTGGGCATACTCTTTGAAAGACTCAGATACTTTTTTCTTCATCTCTTATAATGAGAAACGATCAGGGATCATATCTATAATGTGACGATATTGGTTAATGAAAGATATCCAACTGGACATACCATCTTACAGTAGATCCGATCAAGTTGTCTTGAAACACATGCATGAGTAACTTTTCATTGCTGGCATGAGCTATCATCTTACAACAATATATTATGATGTACGTGATTGAGCACTTGGTACTGTCATGCTTATCAAATTTTGATACCTTAAACTTTTGAGGAATCACAATATCTAAAACCAGATAAAGGTTGACAGCATTCATGGATCTATAGAAATTAATACCCTCTATAGCCTGCAATCATTCTTTAATCATGCTCATAGCTTGATTAGTCTTAGAGTCTTTTAGGGGTATAGCCATCTGTAGTTTTTCTTTCTCTTTAGTCTCATCCATTTTGGAAATTTGGATTGGCTCATCTACCTTTTTAGTAGAGACAAGATTGGTATAACTCTGGACATTCTCTTAATTAAAATTTAGGAATATGGTCTATTGTTGATGAAAGCTTGAAGTTGTCTGAGTTTGATGTGGGTCAAAACCTAAAGGATATAGTGGCTCAGTATTTTTATGTGAGATGTTTTTTTTTTTTGCCTTTCTTTTATTTCCTTTTTCAGAGCTTATAAGATTTTGCTTAATTTTTTTTCAAGTATCTCTTGGGCTTTTTCTATTCTTTCAAGCCGGTCTACATTATCTTGTTTTAATTTTTTGGCTTTAGCTTGAGTGTAATATTGGTGTTGAGCTATCTTTGAACCTTGATTTTCCATAATTATGGTGCAAATTTATAATGATGTTTATGGATCTATCAGATTATGCAGTCGAATGAATGTGATGATGCATGAAATGCATGCATACACCATAAAAAAGGTTTAGTAAGCATAATATATAATTTACATGTATGTTTATGAATATGCATAAAGAAAAAAAAATAAAAGAAGATAAGAAAATCGGTTAGTCACCTTAAAATAAAGAATAAATACTACAAAGTAAGTAAAATAACAACATGACTCTAAATTTGGATTAACTACCAAAGGTGGAAGGACATGGCTCTATCTATGGTTAGGCTTTTAAAGTTAACTATATGTGGTTTGGATTGCCTCTAAAAAGTTCTTAAACTGTTCTTTACATGATAGTCCTTCACAAACTAGTAAGGCACCCCGATCTTTGTCCATCATAAGCTACAAGTAAAATGGGTCCAATTTGAGTGAGAGTGCTTCACAGGCCCATGCAGAGACATAAAATCTTATGAGGGTATAAGTACTTCACTCCCTCCTAAAGGTAGAGCCCGGGTGGAAGGCTTATATTATGCATATGCAAATGAATTATAGATATATAAAGTGAATAAATGAATAACTAAAACAAAACATAAGCAATTAAAAGAAATAAAATAAGAAAGAAAATAAATTTCAAGTTAAGCAAGGCTTGGATAATAAAGAATTATTTATTGGCCTAACTCTTGATGTCCCCAGTAGAGTAACCAAATTGTCATAATATATAGATCTTTGATATATCACTTAGATATGGATTAAAAGGAGTTACCACAATATTTTTTTATTAGGTGTGATTTGGCTCACCTGAAACAGATTTTGGTTTGCAAAAATAAGCATATTAAGTTCGGGAGTCGATTACGCAAGGAAAGGTCATAGCAATCCCCATAACGCCCATCAAAGGATGGTACCAGTTTGATTTTTAAATTATTCAAGCCTTGATTATTTTTATGATTTACCAAATAATTTAATATTAAAAATTAATCTTAAAATTATCTCAATAGTTTGGTAGTAATTTAAGATAATTTTTTATCTCAGGAGTATTTATAGAGACTAGTGTCTCATTTTTGAAGAGACTGCATTATCAGATTTATTGATTTATTTTATTTTAAAAAAATTATTAAAGTCTCTCAATAGTTTGTAGGACTTACTTTGAAGCAATCCTCAAATAGTTTAGAGGATAAAAAATTATTTTTTATTTTTTTGATTTTTGATTTTATATATATTTGAAATTGATTTATGAAATTTTTCAATAGTTTAGTGAATTCTATAAAAATTCTTCAATAGGTTAGTAGAATTCTATGAATTTATTTTGTAAAGATTGAAAAAGGATTTTTTTTTTCTAAAAAACTTAAAAAGATTTTTTAAAAAAATTTACTTGAAAATGAGTTTTTTTGTTTTGTTTTTTTAATTCACTAAAAAGATTTAAAAAAAAACAGAAATAATTTTTACGAAATTTCTCAAAAGTAAAACCAAAAAATTAAAAATTAAAAATTAAAAATAAAATAAGCTAAAAAAATAAAATAAAAAAAAACCTTGTGATCGGGGTGGGTCACGTGTGGGTCAATGGGGTGGGTCAGCGTGTGGATCTTGGGTTGCTAAAACATTGCCATTTTGACTCTGTGTAAAAGGTAATTCCCAGCCTTTCTCCTTAGAAAGCTAACCCCTCTCTCTCTTTAGACAAAAAAACTCTGATTTTTCTCTAGAAAACTTCGTCGGAGATTCAATCGAAAACTGAAAATTTCATTGGTTTCTGAAAAGGTCACCAAAAAATTCACCAGAAACTAAAAAACCTATAGGTTTCTAGAAATCTAACCAGAAATTGGTCAAAAAATTCAACCAGTCACCGAAAATTCATCAAAAACTTTATGTTCTTCCCAAAAATCTAGATTTTTTTAGAAAAATCCTAATTTTTTTAGACCTATTTGCCCAGATTTCTTCAAAAATGCTCTAAAATCCAAATCCAAACCCTAGAAACTTAAATCAAACCCAGAATCTTTCGATCGAAACCAAAATTAGAAATCTAAATCCTAAACACTCCTATTCTGCCCCAAAAAATTCCAAAACATCCATTCTCCAAAAATCAACCTTTTTTTCTTAAAATCCACCATTTTCCTGTTCTATAATGATCTGTCCAATTTATAGGTCCTTTTAGGATAGATT